CTTGTAATTTAAGGTTTAAGTATAGTTTAGATGAATAATATATAATTATTTCTTGCTATTTTTTTTATAATTCTTTTCCTGCATATATTACTATTCAGATTAATATTATGATACTCAAATATAGATGTGTGAGCTATATTTCAAAACTCCATTACAATATGCAAAGACAACGAAATGAAATTTATCCAAAAAGGTCAAAAGAATGAGGCCGAAATGCACACAGGGAGCGGGCGGGATTGAATCCCGGAAGTATCTGCTTGCTTGCCAATGTTCTTTTTACAACGATTTATATTAGTTTACTGTTACTGGTTGGCTTTATTTGTTTTTTTTTCTATATTTCACTCCATTAAATCAATGCATTAAAATTAAAGTACATCTGGAATCTCTGAAAATTTGCAACAAATCTAATTCATTGGATTAGTATTCCATTCGTCCCAATAAAAAAATTACATTATCAAATTAAAAATAATTTTATTATTATGAGATGAATGAAGTATGATTACTAAATCAAATCATTGGAACACACACAAAAAAAGGAACTCCAATAACTCATTGTCCTAGGAGAAAAGAAGAATTATAGTAATAAAAAAATTAAAAAAACAAAAACAAAAACGCTATAAACACACAAAAAGAACATCCGTCACATGGTGAGAATTAATATTGATGAACAAATCAACAAATACGAATAATTCCACCTTTTTTTTCTTTGCCATTTCGTTGCTAAAGTTGCATTGATGATGGCCTACATGATTGAAATCAATCAGCAACAATCAAAACGAAAAGCTCTTGTGACTTAAACAAACTCCACATACAAATTCTTGGTCAAATTTGAGGAAACACTTTTTTTCTTTTTCCCAATTTTTAAATTAAATTCACCTATAACATTTTAAAAGATGAATACACCAAACAGAAAAGCGTAATGGGAAGTTGGGGTAAGTGCATTAGAACCTTAAAAGGAAGAATTGGGATCTCAAATTCATCATTAAGGTGAGATTCTTGTTTAACTTTCTTGGTGGTCCTAATCGCATATCTCCTAGGTTGATGAAGCTCGGTGATTATGTGAGGAAAATTTTCTCATAACACTTTTGTGTTACACGTTTTATAACGCTACCTATAGAATAAAAATTGTAATCTTTTACTAACAGAATAAATATAATATACATTTGTAATTAAAAAAAAAATTACTGAAAATCGATGGTCAATTGATTACAAAATATATATATATATATATATATATATTCGTACCTCATTTTCAGAAGTGTTGTACGATACTTCATTGTTTCCACTCTCAATAGGAGTTATATTGGTTTTTTACCCCTCCTAATGAACCCTTCAATACGGATTCTGTACAAATATGTGGTAGAATTTAAGGACAGAAAACAACAATTAAGTTCTTTACTGATTCAACACAAAAAAATAATAATAATAAAACAAGAAAAAGGAAAATAATGTAAAAGAAAAATAGAAATTATTTTTTTCCGTCCCAAATCCAACCATTAAAGTAAAGTAAATCAAGGAATATGGACATTCCTGATAGTAGGGCAGGGGGGGAACGGAATTAATGGAGACAAAAACCCTCCACCAAACTTCCCAGGTCAATTGGATAATGTACTCCACTGATTTTGGTTCACACTTTTATTAGAAAAAGATTAAAATTAAAATTTGGGGTACTTTAACGTGATCATATAGTTCTATACTATTATTGGGAAATTGGGATCAACTCAAACTCCACATGCGAATATGGTAGCGATTATAACTTGATTTTCCAACACATTTTCATTGGAATCTTTGATTAATACCAATTTGTCACATTCTTTTGCCTCAATATATTCCATCATCATAATTGGGAATCTGGAAATAAGAAGCCAATTGCAAACGTGACACTAGATTAGATTACTCGAATTGAAAGAAAGGTATAATTCGTATGGTTTACCTATCTCTACACATTTTCAAACCCAACTGCTGCCGCCAACCATCCACTAAGTAAATCACTATTGCTACTTTTTTTTTTTTATCTAAAAGTTATTGTATTAATTAATTTAAGAGCAATGATACAGATAGTGAGAAAAAAATTGTGAAAATACATGGTGACTGATGTGTCTATAGTAATTAAAGGTAAAAAGGTAATTTTGGAGGGAAAGAAAAAATTTCGGTGGTAAAATGACAACAAAATAAGGAGTACACATCAGTTACTATATTTTCTCACTATATTATTTCACTAAATGTATCATTTTCCTTAATTTAATAAGCATGACCTTTTTTCCCACGGCATATATCATATATCTGACAGTTAATATTTTTCTTTTCCTAAACAGAGAGAAAAAAAAAACCAATTATATCGATAATTTACTTATAATTTGTGATTGGTAAATGTAATAATTATATGCCGTTTAGTATTGTACACTCTCCTAAGACTTGAGTTTTTGTTCATTTGTCAAGTTATTGTCTTAATTAATAACTCCTCGTCCAGCATAACTTTTTACATTTTTAATACACTTTTTTATAACTTTTAATTAAAAAAACACCTAAAAGCACTGTTGTTGTTGAAAAGGCATCCAAAAAACCAGTGGCCAATATGAGTATTGTTGATTGATTTAGATGGTTTAATTACTGTGAGCATCATTCACTTTCAGTTGAGTAAATTCGGTAACAGTGACTCTTGCACAGAAATTGCAATTTCCGAGGACCATGTACTTCTTTTCATGAATGTACCAGCTTACACTTGCATTTATTTACCAATGCCCCAAAAACTACCACTTATGGCTCTGAAAGCTCCTTAGCAGGTCGGTTAAACAATGTTTTGGTTAACTAGACCGGTTTTATTTCACTGAGGGCTCAAAATCTAGTCTCAACATTCAGAAATGAAATTTATAGGATTGCCATCGAAATTTTGAGTTCGTCAACAAAATCGTTGACTAATAATGTAGTAGTACTACAACAAGAAACTGTATTAATCGGTCAAATATCATTCCTAACAAATTTTTGAAAGCTAATTTCAGGGAAAATGGTCTCAAACATAACTTTATTTTATCCTGAAACGTCTAAATCAGGCAGCCAATTTTGTCACATTGACTCCATAAGAATTTGTAATTAAATTTTAAACAATGTCAAGCACAAAAATCTTAAGTTATAATATGTCAAATTGAAATCGAGAATATATCTATTTTAAGACGGAACAGGTATTGTATTTTCGTAGCACCAATAAGGTAGTAGTGTTGCGTTGGAGTCATGGAAACACAAAATCAAGAATGCGGATCTTATGAAAAAGCAAAAGGAAACCATCAAAAGTACCAATAATTCATACACGAATATCAAAAAAAATGATCAAAAAGAGATTCATCCAAAAAATAAATAAAAATTTTTCTTGGATATAGTGGCTTTCTAATAAGCTGTGAGGCTACATATATATAAATAGGTTTAGGTTGTCAAACACGAACTGTCTATTTCTCAATTAAACCTTGTCCGTACGCCGCCGATTAGAGAGGGGGTGCCGCCGTACTAGTACTACTACTGGTGGTGGTGCCAGCAGCCGGCAGGTTCTAGGGGATGGGATTTTACTTTTCTCATTGAAATTGCTGCCGAGTAGTAAGGGTAGCTTTTCTTTCTTTTGTTTTAGGCTATATAAGTCTTTCATACTAATCTTATCAAGCAGAGTATTAGCTATGAGATAGTAGTATATAGGAACTGATGATGATGATTATGAGAGATTTGATTGATGGCTTCTTATTTCTTGGATTTTGATTTTCTTTTTATTTTTCTCTTTGTATAATGACTATACATATATTAGACTAGTCATAATGAGGATTCGTTCCTTCTCTTTATGATCATGAACCAAGTCGTACATTACATTTTAGTTTTTTTTTTTTTAAAAAAAGAAAGCGTTATAGAAAAATGTATTGTAGACCTCTATCTTGTATTAAAATGACTATGTCAATGACCTGAAAGGTTTCAATAGCAGGAGAGTTCACCGTTAGCGGTTAAAGCTTGCATTAAACTTTTCTCTTATTATTTCAAAAAAAAAAAAAAAATCCCATTCGTTCAATTATTTTGTTACAGAGCCAATACTTTAAAAAGTGCTCAACTACATAGTTAATGCCTCTGGAGGAGAGGGTGTTGATGTTGTAATTGGTGGTTATTGATGTGGAAAAATTATTGAGTACAACGGTTGTATCCTACTCTCTCCGTTCCAAAATAAGTGTCGTTTTAGGAAAATAGAGAAATTTTAAAATAAGTGTCGTTCTCACGTTTCAATGCACTTTTTGTCCAAAGTTTCCAAAATTACCCTCGAAAGAATTAATACTATTGGTGGACATTTTTTTAGTGGGGTTGGTTGAGAATATTGAAGTAATTTTATTACCCTATTTAAGAGTTTCTTAAATTATGTGCAAAGTGTAGCACTTATTTTGGAATGGAAAGAGTAATTTTTAGTGCAGCAAGTATTAACACCCCCTATTTAGGTGGTATAATTCTCTTAGAAATTATATCTCCCCCTAAAATTATTACTTTACTCTTATAATTATGTCTGATTGTACGGGATATAATAGTTGCACTGAATAATTTCTCATTGACATGGATAAAGATTAGATGCTTGTGAGTTCTCCATGGATTGGAAGACGTTTGTGACCTAAGGACGGAATAGTGATTAGACTTTTTGTAATAAATAATCAGTACCACTGGAAATTGTGACGGCGAAAAGGCTCACCAGAATTTCTATCCAAAATTTAATTTGAGGGTGTGACCAAAACGTTAAATCGATTCTTAAATGTTGCCTTTTTTTTTCCCATCAATCTTTGTATAACACTGGGCATTTAAGAAGCCCCCGTTCGTTTTGAAAAGCTCTGTGGTGGCAATGGAAAGTTTTATTGGTCCAGTTTGGTTGACAATTTCAGTTTGTATTCAAGACGATCGTGTTACATGGAAATAGACTTGTTCTATTCTCAATTTGAACATATTAGTAGTAATCCTTTATTATTACTAGGAAACAATAAAAACTACTCATTTCAGTTTATAGCGTAATATTTATATTTTTCTCTGTTACAAAATGAGTATACACACATTATACTGTACAATTTACTAGTAGACAATAGGTAATCATTGAGTTATGGATATTCATGAGTTTAATTTCTTTTGTGGAGAAGTGGTAGATTTGAAAAGACAAGGCACAAGTCCAAATGGGACTCTCTTGATTTTCCAATTGGGCTGATGGGGTATTACAAAATAGGCCTTCAGAAAGAGCTCCAAACTCCAAATGCACCGTCACCAGCTATTCAAACCTGATCTTGGAGGTGACTTTGCTTGATTTTTACCAACTAATATTAACCATTCTCTTGGGACGGAGGTAGTATTATTAAACAGAATAAAATATTTGAAGATTTTTTTTGAAGGCAAAAATATTTGAAGATGAAGATACAGATAGTAATAAGCTCTCTCTAAAATAATAGCTTCTCAAACTTAATCCAGTACAGAAAATGAACACACTAATTTATATACAGGCAATCAGCTACTGGAGAGGCTGGTTATTTAGCATGGCAATCAAAATCATGTAAACGTCTCAAAAAATACAATAAACACAATCGCAATAGACCCCAAAAAACACATTAACACACCATATTATCAGAGTGTCAAAATCTGATAATGCAAGAGCTCCTCAGTACTCTCTAGTATCTATATCCACGGAACCAAAGCGAGAGATAGCAAACTCAAAATCAACCAGCTGAAATGGCCCATGGGAAACCTTGAAATTGTGCTAGCTGTTTAATACCCCAAAACACACACACACACACACACACACATACAAAGTCCAGATTAGTTCTGAAGAGGGTCAAACTTAGATTAATGTTAACAGGAAAGATATCGATCAAAATACTCGATAGTACTGTAAACTCACCGTGGTTTTGACTATTCTCTGACAGATTAGGAGGCGATGAGGAGCTGGAGGAGCTTGATCTGTTGTTCAAGTTGATTCCGAGACTTGTGCAATCCGCTCCAAGTGCACCTTAATACATTTACACAAATTCAATGAGGTTCATTCGAGATTGTCAATGTATGAGAAATTAATGCAAGATCTGAGAGTAGATTCAATTTCTTGGCTATATATGTTGAGAAGGTTGTCATATATACTTACAATCTCTATAACATGGGAAAGCGGAAACATTGAGTATGTTATAGTAACCCTCTTGGCATTGACATGTGTGTTCAAACGGAGAGGTCTTGTTACATGTGCCACCGCCACAATCGGTCCAGAAGCAGGCTACAAACAGAGAATAAATAGAAGAAAAAAGAAAGAAGCATAAGATGGTTGAATGATGTGGCAAGATTAATTACGCAAGAATGTAACTTCAAACTTACGATCAAAGACTGATTGGCCGGACCGGTTGACGTGTGGAGCAGGGGATGGTGCTTCAACGCAGGAGTAGTTGAGGGTACCTAAAGTTATAGAAAACTGCCTTCGTCAACAAAATTACATTCTATGCCTTAAACAACCTTTCCGATACCAAGTCAAATCCATTTGTTTAACAGAACCAGAGTATTTCATGATCAAATGATTTAATCAGTAAGATGATGCTTAGCCTGACGGATCCAGTCACTTTCACATAAGAAATGGTATACACTCAGCACACTATGATGTATAACCAACTAAAAGCAAACACGAAATACAGACGAGTGAAACACAAATGACACAACCATTAAAATGCCATCTTTAATCATTCTTAGATCATCAATCTTGGATATAACTGCTCTCCATCCTGTCACTTTGAAGACCCTTTCGAGACACAATGATTAGGTATTAGATTAGGTTTTATGATGGGAGTCAAGTCTGTTTCAATGATGTTTGCATCTTTTACTAGAAGTGCAGCTGAATTATCTGTGATTTTTTATCAGTAGTTATGGTGATGTCAGTCAGAGAACACAAACAAACATAGTTAGCCTGACCTTTGCTAATCTAATCAACATTAAGTCAGGAAAAAACAACTAATTCTGCACCTCCTAAGTTAGCCTTCTGTTTTGACAAAGCAATCAGATGAATCGCAACTTCCGTGTCAATTTCAGGACAAATTTTTCAACAACTGCAAGTCAAATGCTCTAAATGCGTGAATATTATAGATATTGACGTTAATTAGCCAGTGAAAATTGCCTTCCCATCTGGAACCATTAACAATAAAATTTTAAATTTAACATTTAGCAGGTAGATAGAACATCTGGTGCATCACAACCAAACCTCTGACTAAACATTGTAATACTTCAACTATAACATCTCAAGCCTAAAAATTTCAGGAGGAAAAAAACTTCGTAAAATCCAAATTTCTCATTTAGATGGCAACTGCAACATCTTAATTAGATATACGTTCTGCCTATAACAACTCAATCAAAGCAAGCATTAGGTTTTTTCTTTTTTTTTCCTTAAAAAAACATACGACTAATACTTACAGTTTGGAACTACACAAGGAAGAAATTTGAGATCATTGTCCTTTTCAGAGCGAGTTTGCTTCCACCCAGCATCACAAACGCACTCATAACCAAATGTGGTCTCATTTGATGACTTGCAGGTTCCTTTTCCACACGGATTTGAGCTTTTACATACATCACCTGCCAAGAGAATACAGACCAAATAAGACCCAAAGAAATCAAATTTCTTACCAAAGAATGAATCTTTAAAGCTTAAACAATCCCCAAAACTGCTAGAAATGAAAAGGGTTTCGGCAAAATACCAAAAAAAGGAGAGAAAATTGAAGAAAAATTGCTGCTTGAAGCAGAGCAACTCTGCAGAACAAGGATAACAGTGAAGAAGGAAATGGTGCAGAGAGAAGCCATTTCTTCAAACAAGAACCAACTAGCTAGCAATTGGAAATAGGTTGATGAATAATAATGATACTGAAGGATTAAAGAAGGCCGGCTAGATAGATTGACTTAGTTTTATACCGTATTAAATGATCTATCTTAATTCTTAGCTATAAATCTACTCCAATCACTCGTTTGACTATATGGGTTTGCCAATTTATTGGTGAAACATTGATTAAGAAGAGTTCGGTATGCTTAGGATTTGGATTTGTCATTTTCGAATCTCTCCCCTATCTGGTTGCTTCTCAATTTCTTGTGTCTGTAAAACTTTGAAAATTTATACACTTCGGAAAGAAGGAAAGTCTGGAAAAGGAAAGAAAAAAACAGGGAAAAAAAGAAAAAGAAAAGGTGGGCGGTTAGGATGATTTTACTAGTAAGGCTGATGAGGTCAACGAATGTACGCATGATGAAGAGGTTTGTTGGAAGTTGGAAAGATGAGTTTTAGTTAATGTCACATAAACAATAACAAAAACACTTCACATACGCGTTAACTCCTCCTTAATCTTTTAGAATTATACGCAGTCACGTACTCACATCACACGTCCCAATAGTATCTTCCCATATCATAACAGAGTTTGTTGTTTTTTGCAAAAACCTTACTTAAAATGAAGTTATAGAGCTGCATTTCTAGAACACTTGATAGTTGATACCAATAAGGTCATGATTCAACCGTGACTTAATAAAAAAAAAAAATTCTTTAGTATGATAAATTGCTCTATAATAGAAGAGACGTAAATCGATCTACTATGAAATTAATCTTTGGAAAGTAGTTTTTTAAATAATTTTTAATAGGTTTTCGACGTTTTAATCATCTCAAATTATCTCGTTTTAATCATCTCAAACTATCTCACCAATGTAAGTGCATGTGAAAATAGTAACTGATCTTAATTAGCTTCCTATTTTTTCTGAAAGTTTCTGAAAGAATAGAAATATAAAATCGATTGTCTCATCTGACTCGTTTCAGAGAGGAACTTCAAATTCATAAGCTTAAGGAATTTCGCAAGATCTAGACTGGGTGATTTATCGGGAGTTTCATCGTAATTTAATCTTATGTTCATAGAACTTGACATCTACGGTAAGTGGAGACCAAAAGAGTGTAACATGAAGGAAATAATAATTTCCAAGTCAAGTCTTTTCTGATTTATAAAAAGTAAGCGCGTGGATGGATCCCTTGAAACATTCTCTAATAAATCGAATAGCAAAATTCTTAATTAGGAAAAATATGCTTTTCATCCCAAAGTTTGGGACACACTATCTAACACATTTCAAAGTTTAATTCCATGGAATTTACATCCTAAATTTTTTAATCATGCTATATTAAAATGTTCGTTAAATTTTTTAATTAATTAATTAACGGTGATACTTTATTCCTTTTTCACTATCCGAATTCTTTTTTAATCATTTACCAGGTTTCATTAATTCCTAACTTATAAGAAAATAATTAAATCTAATTTGGTCTTCACATCTTCGTTCTTCCCATGCTTAACGAAAAATTTCCAAGATTCACCATCTGAATGACAACAATCATGAGGTTTTGGGGTGTCCTAATTGGTAAGTAAGTTCTTATTTCAAAAAGAATGCAAAGGCATCAATGTAAAAATTGGTATTGTAATTTGATGCAGAGGCATATAACTTGTTTACTTGGCATTGACCAAATTACCAAACGCTAACATGGAATTTTTTTTGACTAAAAAGATATTGGAGGAAAAGAAACTGAATAGAAAATCGAAAATCAATGTTAATTAACTAAAAAATTTAACAGATATCATAATATTACTTATTTTGAAAAATTTGGGATAAAATGACATGTTCTTAAACTTTAAAATGTTTTGGATGGTATGGTTCAAATCTTGGGATGAAAAGGTCCATTCTCCCTTCTTAATTAATCTCAACTGAGTTCATCATTTGGCTATCAACTTCTACTCTCCTATATCCGGTAACCACCTTCCCATGCGAAATTCAGTCGCATATATCTACTCCGGTGATGTTCTCTGATCATGTATGTTGAACTTTACATATGTACTCCAGGCCCTCCAAAGTTTTGTTGTGTGGCAAAGTATACATTCAAAAGGGGTAAAATACTTAAGAAAGTGAAAATTTTACGACCTTTTATTTTTTTTAAAAAAAAAAATAGTCTATATCGAATTTTGTGATTTATATTAATTTTTATATATATATATTTAAAAATGTATGGTAGATTATTTTTTAGTAACATCAAACATATACTTTTGGTTGTTACCAACGATTTTGTATGAGTTCGAGGGCCTGAAGTGAAGTAAAAACAACAAGAGAAAATTTCCTATTCGTTCATCATGCAAAATTCGTAATTGTGAATCCCAATCGGATATGGAAACCAAGAAGGCAAGAGGAACTAGGATTTCCCATTTCTTCCAGTAATTTAATCTATTTATATATCCTGAGAAATTAACCAAGCTACACGAATACACGATCCATTTATCATCATCGGCGGCAGGAAAACAAAAACACACACACACCCTTTTCTGTTTAATCAATTCAATCATGGTGTCCGTCCAATCCATGAAAAAATTGCCATCGGAAGAAGACGCTTTAGCTTTCATTTCCGAAATCAAACAAGCCACTTATGATCATCCAAATCAAGAAACAAACAACAAGTTCGATCAATTCGCAGGAGCTCTTCTGGCTTTCGAAGAACAGAGGATCACCCCAGAATGTTTAATCCTGAAATTGAAGAGTTTATTCCAAGGCCATAACGATTTACTTCGTGGGTTGAAGTTTTTCTGCCCCAATTCTCGAAACCCGGCCGTAACCCGAATTACCCTGAAGATCCGAAGAAGCTCTGAATCTGAAGCTTACCAGAGAGAACTATGCCACAGGTTCTTGAACGAAGTCAAGGAAAGATTTCAGGATAAACCCAGAAATTATTACAAAGACTTCTTGGACGCATTGATTAATTACAGGAATCAAACGTTGGATATCGACGAATTTTGTCAGAAAATCGTGGAACTGTTGTTCGGGCACGCGGATCTGTTACACAAATTTCAGAGCTATTTCGACGATCGGGATGAAAAATTCCGACAAGAAGTCGATCGACACTGTGGGTTTGCGATTGATGATCGTCTGGTGGAGATTGAAGCGAGTTTAGGCAATTTGAGGACTTCAATTGGTTTGATTGAGAAGGCATCAAGAAGAAAGAAGCTTTCGAAGGTGGGTAGATTGGTCGAACGAGAATTTCAGGGGATTAAAGTTTTGGGGATTAAGAAAACGTTCCCGGAAAGGAGTTATCAGGATGTGATTCAAGCTCTGAAACGGGATCCATTTAGAGTTTTGCCTATGGTTTTGGATGAATTAAGAGAAAAAGAGAGAGAAGTTTTGATGGTTCGATCTTCTGCTCTGAAGTTCTTGGGAGAAATTCATAGCCTGCATCGTACGTTGGATTCCAAGAAAAGGGGAAGAGACCAGATGGATTCTTTTATATATTTTTAACAAAAGACAATGAAATTCTTTTGTAGTTTATTGTTTACAGATTCACTTTGATGCAGTAATTCATAATTTGGTTTGAGGAATTTTGACCATAACTCGTGAAGGTGGTAGACATGCGACTCACTTACCAACTAAATTTGTTTAAAAAGAAAAAAGGGGGGAAAAAAACAAAAGTCCACACCATAATAAATACAATCGAGTTCTAAGGTTTTAGTGTTTTACGCATAATAAGACCTTTAAGGAAAGAATGAAGGAAAATTATACTATTGCTTTACCTCTATTCTGAAGGGTTGGCCACCCTAAAGCAGGCAACGAATTTCAAATTGGGGTCCTTTTCCGCCATAAAATAAACATGATACACCTATTCCAAGTTCCCACTACACTCCAAATGGTTAGTTTTACATCTGATTCAACATCAAGGTGCTTGTAATTATTTAATGGAAAAATAATAAAGACAGTAAAAGATACTACCATGCCATGAAACAATAATTGATATATGATCTGGAAAGACAAAGTTGGCATCTTTAAATTTGATATGAGGAATGTTTAGTCTTAAAATTAATGATCCTAGTGAAATGAAATATTAAATGATAAACCTTTTTTTTTTTTGAAATAATAATAATAATAAGAAGAAACGATAAAAAAAAATCGAATCAAATCGCAATAACACCGTCAACCTTAATGGTTATTACATAATACATTACATATGAGAACTTTATTTTACGTGTTATATTCATCATTTATATATTGGTTTCACTTGATCTATGATCTTCTATCATTAAAAGTATCATATCAGTACAAATTTACTAAGTTCCGTTTTAAAATGGCACTTATGGAGTATCTAATTTTCGAACAAATACAGTAGTATTAGATAGTGTAACACTTCTCTGTCATTTTCCTTATGTATCAGTCCAAATGGCACAAATGTTGGTAAATCCACCTGGCCTGGATAGAACGTAATTTTCTTTAACTTCAAGTATCTTCTGGATATGCTGATAACTGATAAGGGATCACCAACTCAAGAGTCATAATCCAATTGTTGGATATGTTCGATGTAGCAATCAGATTTAGGCCCTTCATAGTACTGAAACATCATTTTTTTATGGTATTTCATCTTTCCACGATGATGGTTCAGTTTGAGATTTTTTTTTTTTTTGACATAAAAGAAACTTTCATTAACTGTATTGAAAAACATCTAACCACGATTGACAGAGAATTACAATTCTTAACATTTTATAATAATCGACTAGAATTCTATAACTAAGAATCAATCGATCATCTTTACCACGGACGACTAAAACACAAACTTTTCAAGAACACCCGCAAATATCTGTTGGAAGCATCACATACCAAAGAAAATCTCCAATCTCGAATATTTCACTTGTCATCAGATGAATACCCAAAAAACAGATCTAAAATATAGATCTAGTTTGACTGCAAATTCTTGAACATAAACCATGACTATGAACCATAATAGTACAATCATGGATAAAACCACAAACTAAAGATTACAACAAACACAAATGAACTAAATTACGATCAATAGAATTAGATCTATTGACAAACTACTAACACCCAGTAGATAAAGATCTACCGATGACTAAATTTATTCAAATTAAAAAATCTAAAAAAAGAGACAAATTATCTCCCCATCCTCTCGTAGGACGGAAGATGCGGAGAAAATTAGGTGACAAAAGGAAGATGAGGGGAAAGAGAGAATGATTGATATCAGATTTGTAAATTAATGAAAAGAATTTGACCTGTTAAATTGATAAGGAAGGAGAAGAAGATAGGAAGGAGAGAGAGAAGGGAGAGAAGGGAGCAGTTTTTATTGTTCTGTTTAAGATTTTACTTGTAGTATATAGAGAGCTGAGCGAACTCCTTTTCGTGATCTGAGAAACGGAGAATCAATTCAAATTTCAAGGAAATCATAAATCTCTTATATAGAGAGATTGGATGATGAACGTCATACATATTTTTACGGAAACAAAAATTTGCAGCAGATTACATTCTTTTATTACAAGCATGGGAGTTGATTTTTTTATTTTTTTTTTGATCACTGTCATATGATCACATAACGTTTTAATTTGATGTAATATGATTGCCCAAACATAAACTAAAATTTGTATGTTCGATTAACCCCCCAAAAAAATAAAAATGCCTTAATTATAAAAAAATTTTCAGTTATCCGTCAAAGAGAAAGGCGGTCCTATGTGAATCCCTATCGGTATTGGATCCATGATAAACTCGGATTTCATCCTGCTTCTAATCATTCATTTTCTTCTGTTTATAACCTTGAGAATTCAACCTAAACGATACATCAATCTGCTAGGGTTAGAACTTAGAAAAAAGAAACACACACACACACACACATCGCCCGCGCGCACACACAGAGTTGATCACTTCAAGTCTTCGATCAATCATGGCTGCCGTCGAATCCACGAAGAAATTCCCAACTGAAGAAGACGCTTTAGAGTTCATAGCTGAAATCAAGCAAGCAACTAATTATCATCCTAACAATCAAGAAGCCAACAACAAGTTCAATCAATTTGCTTGTGCCCTGTTAGATTTCGAAAAACAGAGGATATCCGCAGAAGCTTTAGTGCTCAAATTGGGAACTCTGTTCCAATCCCACGAGAATTTACTTCGTGGGTTCAAGGTTTTCTGCCCCAATTCTCGACAACCAGTGGTAACCCGAGTTTCATTGAGGATTAGGAATCACGAGTTCGAAGATCACCAGAAAGAATTAGGGCACAAGTTCTTGAACGAAGTCAAGGAAAGATTTCAGGACAAACCCAGAGCTTATACAGAGTTCTTAAACGCGTTGGTTGAGTACAGGAATCAAACGTTACACATCATACTGTTTTGTCGGAAAATCGTGCAACTGTTCTTCCGGCACCCGGATTTGTTGCATAAATTCGTCGGCTATTTCGACGATTGCGACGATAAATCCCGACGAGAAATCGAAAGACACTGTAAGTTTGCGATTGATGATTTTCTGGAAGAGATTGAAGTGACGTTGAACAATTTGAGGACTTCGATGGCGATTGTGGAAAAGGCGTTACGGAAGAAGAAGATTTCGAAGATGGGTAAATATGTTGAACGGAAATTTGTGGGGATCAGAGAATTGGGAATTAAGAAAACGTTCCCGGTGAACAGAATGGAAGTGACCAAGATTATGAAGAGGGATCCATTAATGGCTTTGCCTTATGTTTCGGATCGACTTAGAGAAAAGGAACAAGAAGCTTTAAAGGCTCGTTCTGCGGCTTTTGAGTTATTGGGAGTGATTCCGCATGGTAATCAAATGTAATTCCGATTCTACGAAAAAGAGGAAGTGACCGAAACTGATTGATGCTGGAGGAGATGAATTTCTGGTTCAATGACCTGCAGATCACAATGGGATTTCCTGTCTGTGTTCAGGGTTCAATGTTAAGGACCTTCACGGTTCTCTTATCGTGTACTCATAATAAAGTGGATTATTTTTAGGAGACATTGAAAAATAAGTATGAGGGAAGATTAATTTGGTACGCGGATTCTAACTTTATTAAGAATGACTTATGATGTATGTTTTTATTCATTTATTTACATTGGATTTATTTTTATTTACATTGGTAAAAATCAAACTCGAAATCTCTCATTGAGTTTTTGAATCCTTAACTAAAGTTCATTCTCATGAATTTAGTTACCAAATGACAAGATGAAGAAGAGAACCCTATTTTGGGTGAAGAAAATGTTTTCTATTATCTGGCTTTTAAGTTTACGAACAAAACAATATATAATGTTTCAAAGTTACCCTAACTAATAATCTTACCAAGTTACTAAAGATTAAATAACTCAGCAATAATACAACTCACTCTAACACCAAGCTTTATTGGTTCCTTTGTGAACTTATACTAGTTGTATTGGTTCCTTTGTCTAACTTCTGACGTTTTGCTTTTGATGATATGGTAACAGTTTGAAGACAAAAATCAAAAGAGGGCATCCTCCAAACAAGAGCTATTGATCTAATCAAAAAAATTTTCCATCTTCCCCATGTTGGTCAAGTGAATGAAATCATCCTCCAGATATGGTGTTCTTGCATCAATATCAGTTTTCTGAGCTTTAAAAGGCTTGCTCTAAGGGTTAGAAATCGACTGAAGGTTACATATTTTGACAATCTTAACAAATCTCTTTAAAGCAGTCTTTGATAAATTCATAAAAATATCTGTCACATCTTGTCTAAAATGTAGTATGAGCTTGTAGCTCGTTGAGAATATAACCTATCCCACGTTGGAAATGGTAAACTCTTGAAACCAATATATATTCATACGTACTACTCTTCTTATCACCAATTCTCAACACCTCCTCTGAAGCCCGAAGGGGTTGGACAAACCGAATAAACTATTGACTTCTACTTGTTTTTTATCAGAAGAGGGTTGCATTTTATTTTGTGACAAGTCTAATTTATAGACAACTCAAACTAATTCTAATCTCAACAAATCTAGATAAATCTCAATTCTAACGAATAATTTATTCCTCTAATTAATTTTTTTTCAGTAAAAAAAAAAAAAAAACTTAACCCAACGCAACCGAATTTTTTTTAATTTTTCTAGAAAAGCTTGCTCTGGTCTATCGTTTCTACTTTCTAAATCAGGCAAGCTTGACAACTAGACATCATTTTGGGCTCTAAAAACTACTCTTCGCTGGGCCGAAGTAACAAGATCACATTCTAAAACTCAAGATTTGAGTTGTTCATGGTCGTCCGGGAATTCCACAAAATCCACTACAAAAGTAAATAAATAAATAAAATCCGAGAATATTTGTTACATTTTTCTACATAATGTACGAGTACGACAATCATTTTGAGACATTGAAGTAATTAACACTTACCTGTCAATATATTTTGGAAAACAACTAATTGAAAGGCCGCAATCCTTGATTAACTTTTAATTTTTGTTTGGGCGGGTATAATAAACCCTTTTGAGACTTGAGACTATAAGAGTTGTTCACCTTCAAACTGAGATTCCTCGGTCATGTCATGTGGTCCGCAATTCTTGTCCTCTCTAACTTGATATACTCTACATTGTACAAAAAGTAAAAAGAATATAGATTGAACAATAATTTTAAGACGGAGGAAGAAATTATTCTTACAATTACCATAATGGTGGTTAGAGGAAATAACTTATCCTTCTGTCCCAAAATTATTGTTCAATTTGAGTTTTCACTTTTAATACAATTTGAACTAGAAATGAAAATCTAAACCGAACAATAATTATGAGACGGAGAGAGTACTTCTTTTTGGGTTTTGGCTTTGTTTTTATCATAAGCAAAGACATCAACTTTTTATCTGGATACTTGTCAAGGATTATGAGTATGTTCGTGTGCAGATCAGAAATTATTGTTCTTGGTACACATTTATCGTTTAGATTAATCTTGGTTCGACCTCATATTAATTATTTAGAGCTAGCTATGTAATGTAATACGCTATTCCTCTGCCAAAATTGGATTAGGATGCAGCCAAATGCTAATGTCAATTCTTTGAAGGTACTCACACGGTCATCCAATGTCTTGTAGCAAGCACAATAAAACAAATCAAAATTGATTGAAGCCGACATGATCCAATAGTTTCGCTCTGCTTCATTCATTCGAAACAAGTGTCGAAATTATATGTTACTAAAAAGTGAATGTGTGTGTGTGTGATATGAAGAACATTGAGAACCATATGCTTTGCAAATGTAGCCCACCAGAATACGAATGCACCGATGCATATATAGCCCGTATGTGTTAGCATTTTCAACCACTTTTGAGATGTAGGATCATTGACTACACATATAAAGCTAAACAACCCCTATGCATCATGTTCTGAACTCTCCTTTATTTCGTCTCAAAATAGGAAGTAACATCTATAATAATTACAGACAAGCTAAGGTGGTTGTGTGTTTGATTAAATTTTCATCTTAGATTTTTCTCTTCTTTTTGTGTAAAATGAAGGTTCAAAAAATTTTAGTACATTTTGTTGAGGGTCATATGTGGCAAGGATTGTGAATTACACATCGGAGGCATGATGACATGTGAATCAGTTAATAAGTAAAGTGGACTCAGAGCCCATTAGCTTGAGCTTTTGAGTTCAGATGAGTCTTATCTTACTTATTAGGCTCGATGTCGAGTTTTCTCCTCTGGATAAACCCCCAGTGGCATCAGAACTATGGTTCGGTAGTTGAGGTGTTACACCAATAAAATGGAAGAGTCATCGGGTGCTGGTATGATGATTAAATTGACTTTATCCAATTATCATATTTGGAAACCTAGAATGGAAGACTTGTTGTATTGCAAAGATTTATTTGTTCCTGTTCTAGGGATGGAGGTAAGCCAAGTGATATGACTGATAAAAGTGGGCTAATATGCACAGGAAAACTGTTGGTAATATTCAACAGTGGATTGATAAAGTGTATTTCATCACTTTTCGGGAGAAACAAAAGCTGATGAACTTTGAGAGAAAATCCAGAATATGTACTGGAAGAAGTCCGGCATCAATAAGTCATCTGCGCTGAAACAGATTACCAGGTTGAGGTACAAAGATGGTGCTAGAATGAATGAGCACTTGAGTTTGTTTCAGGGTTTGTTAAACCAGGCAGTGAATGTAGATTTAAAGTTGGATGATGAGGTGTAGGCTTTGCTATTGTTTAGTTTTCTTCCAAACAGTTGGGACACTTTGATAGTGTCAATCAGTAATTCAACCTAGGATGGTGTCTTGACCTTGGATCAAGTCAAAGAGGCTTTGATAAATGAAGAAGTCAGAAGAAAAGAGCAGAGTATTGAGTCTGAGTCATAGGCTCTGGTGACAGAAAAGTCAGACAGAAGAGGGAGAAGTAAAAGTAGAGGGCCACGAGATCGGAATGACAAGTCCAGGGGACGGTCTAAATCCAAGAAAGATGTTATGTGCTACTATTGTCAAGGGAATGTGCACTTTAAGAAAGAGTGCAGGGTTCTCAAGAGGGAATTAGTAGCGAGAAAAGGTAAAGGTAAGAAAGATGAATCAAGTGATGATGACACTACTGCAGTAGTAACTACCAGTGATATATTTGTGTATTGTAATGATGATACAATTAATGTTGAGAGTCACGACAGTGATTGGTTTGGTGATTCAGGTGCCTCTTACCATGTGACGCCTGAAGAATGCAGACATGTTCCGGATATACGTCTGAACCTTATTTTCGTTGGTAAACTTATTATTACCAAAGGAAATCTTGTTATTGCTAGAGGAAAGAAGTTGAACTCTTTGTATGTGTTGAATTCAAAGTTGAAGAATGGAGAGGTGAATGCAACTCACAATTCTTCCATTGATCTCTGGCACAAAGGCTTGGACATATGAGTGTCAAGTTGCTGCAGATTCTTGGTAAGAAGCAATTCCTCCTTGAGGTGAAAGGTACTGCTCTAGAACCTTGTGTTGACTGTATCTATGGTAAATAACATAGAGTTTCCTTTCAAAATTCTCCTCTATCTAGAAAGTTCAGTCCTCTAGAGTTAATTCATACAGATGTAGGTTACATGAAAGATAGGTCTTTGGGTGGTGCATTGTACTTTGTTACTTTCATTGATGACTATGCTCGAAAAGTTTGGTGTTTTTCTTTGAAATCCAAAGATCAGGTATTAGATGTGTTAAAAGACTTTCACCTTAGAGTTGAAAGAGAGACTGACAAGAAATTGAAGTGTGTTCGAGCAGATAATAGTGGCGAGTACAGGGATCCGTTTGAGAAATATTGCCGAGACCATGGCATTAAATTTCAGAAGAGTGTTCCGAAGACTCCGCAGCAGAATGACGTCGCAGAAAGAATGAACAACACTATTACCGAAAAGGTTAGGTGTATGCTCTCGAATGCAAAGCTGCCTAAATCTTTTTGGGATAAAACCATGCAGACAGCAGTTGATTTGATCAATCTATCTCCCTCAGTTCCGTTGTATGGTCATCTACCACAGCGAGTTTGGACAGGAAAAGATGTCTCATTTGGAAATTTGCGAGTTTTCAATTGTCGTGCCTTTGTTCATATTCCCAAAGACAAAAGGTCGAAGCTTGATGGCAAATCCAAGCAGTGTATATTCTTAGAGTATGGCAATGATGATTTTGGGTACAGACTTTGGGATCCTGTAGAAAAGAAAGTTTTCAGAAGCAGAAATGTGATTTTCTTTGAAGACCAGACCATTGATGATATGGGAAAGGGCGAGATGCCAGAATCTTCACCAGAGATTCCTGTTGATCTAGATCCAGCTCCTTCACAATCAGATGATTCTCTTGAAGAAGGAGCTGAGACAGAGTAGGATGGTGAGTTTGATGATAATCCTACTTCTGAGACAGAGACACCACTGGTGCCATCACCTCCTGTTCAGCCTAGGAGGTCAACCAGAGACAAGAGACCTTCCACCAGGTACAGTGCTCATGAGTATTTGTTACTTACTGATGGGGGAGAACCAGAGTCGTACGGAGAGGTTCTTAGTCATGAGCAGAAAGATCAGTAGTTAGCAGTCATGCAAGATAAGGTCAAATCCTTGCATGAGAATAACACGTATGACCTGGTGAAG